TTTTTTTTATATAAATTTTTAGACTTTTTTCTTTCTTCTTTTTGAAATTCTATATATGTATATATTATATTGGAAATAACCGTGAATATGTATATATATTCCAATGATAACACCCCATACGTGGACGATTTGGCGCGCATAGCGCGCCATATACGCTAGTCTATACCAATTTTATATTGATCCATCCCATTTTTTTTAATCCAAAGTCTGATATAAAAACTTACGACTTTCCAGATAAAGAGTCTGCAGTTTTCCGAAATTTAGTTTCACATCTGTTAAAATTCTATGGAATTCTATAGAATTTCTGTAAAAATTTGATCACGTTTTGTTTTTTCTTACTCCAGAGGAAAGATAAATCTTCCCTCTCACAAGTCACTTATAATTCAACAATAATAATCAATTAATAAAAATGTTTACACTATTCCTAACTTTTCAGGAAATTCGAGATTTGGTTACTGAAGAAACTCAGCAGCACGGCATCAGCTGAAAGAGACGATTACGCGATCTGTTGTGCTGGTGAAGAATAGAATTAGGATAAATCTCGGACAATTGTGAATATTTAAATAAAAAGTTATCGAGTGAATTCCAGATGGGGGAGAATGCAATAGACTAATTCACATCGAGCTATATATCTATTTTTTACATTAAAATCTACGTGAAATGTTTATCACTTGCTACCAGACAGTATTTCGTGGCATACAAAAATAAATCAAATGGAAAATCTTCATTAGTGATGGAGTTATTTCTATTCCTGTACTAGTGGTACGTCTTACGCTGAATGAGTGAAAATTTCTGGCTTGAGTGCGCAAGAGTTTGCGTCACTCTCTGTTGCAATTTTCCTCATTCATGCACATCGATTGGAAAATTCTGGGGGACGGAGGGAATTTTCTGGGGTCACACACGCAATTTGGGTCAAGAGATTGTCAAATTTGTCATTATCATGTGTCAAACAATGAGAGAATCCTTAATAGTTATTTAGTTTTCTTAATTGAAAAATTCACGTAACGTCTTGTGTCACCATTTTATTTCGCTGCAGTATACAATATAATAATACCTTTTCAAAGCAATTACATATTATGATATAATATGTGTTATATAATATATACTATATAGATATATATATAAGAAAGGAATAAATAAATTATAAAAATAGACATTATTATATGTTAAATTTTTAATTGATCGTAAGAATTCATTATGCAATATTTCAGTTTTTCTAGAATTTTATTACACTTGATTGATAAAAAAATGTGAAATTCCTGTATGAGGGATTTCCGGATCAGAAGTAGAAAATGAGAGATTCGAGTTAGATAGCGTATTTTTTGAGTGTTGAAAAATTTGAAAAGTAAGACAACAACAATATTGTTGAGAGAAGAAATTAAATTAACAAAAAACACCTTGGCGAGAAATAAATGACTGGCCATGAGTTAAAAACGCTTTTTTGCAAGTGTCCCATCTTGCCCTGCTCTCACCTATATTATAAATTCAATAGAAAATTTGGAAACTACAGGAAAGTTATTTTTTCAACGAGACATGCACTCCGTTTTTTAGATATGTATTATCATTTTTTTTATTTTTAATTATTTTTTTTTAGAACATCCTATTCTAAAAAGGATAAACATCGAGACTATCGATATCTCGAAACTCTGTCACGCTTATTCCTCATTGGTTCAGTCGTTTGAGGCGGCTAATTTGAATTTGGAACTCATTTAAATTAACAATTTTTAATCGCGATTTTTATAATTACAGCCCGCTGTAGCGCGCGTTCGTTCTCGTACCATAAAATACGCGTGGTAATACCTAGTGACATAAAATGAATATGGATTTTTGTAAAAGAAAAAGGAAAATGGGAAAGTTTTGAATTGTAACTCGAATTGACAGAGCTTGACATAAAATTTCAAATTTCGATAAAATATTGTTGAAAAAAAAATGATCGAAGATACACTCAAATGACAGAATTTAAACTCAGATGTCAATTTTTGATATAAAAAGTCACCAACCCGTAAACGACTAAAATATAATATTATATTTTTGAAAAATAATATAATATACTGACATGTGATAACAAAAATATTATTATGTATGAAAATCTGCGCGAATTCTCTTAAAACTGTCACATTATGACAGATTCATCCCGAAAATAATGACACATACTCCAATAAATGAATAAATAAATTTCACTTGCTGTCACATTATATAAAAAAAAAAACAATATTCCAAAATGAAAATTTGTTAAAATGTGAGATTTAGTGTGATTATTTTTTCAACCCAAATTTCCGTTAACAGGATTGGCCCATTCAACGTCACGTGGTACCAAGGACCATGGTATTATACTGATAATTTTTTGATAATTTTGTCTGGTAGTTCCTATATATAAGAAACAAAATAATATCCAGTCGAATTAACCCCAGATGTCAATGACAGATTTAATTCGATCTCTTAATTTGAATTAAAATATATTTGTTTTGAAAATAAAATTTGTATTTGACAACTGTGAGGTTCGTCTCATGGGCCAATTCTGTTAACCGAAATTTGGATTGAAAAAATAATCCGACGAATACCGCTGGAGCTTCAAAATTAATCGAGTATTTCCCTCAAGGTTCCCTGCAAACAAACGAAGTCGTCAAGTTTTTCAGGAAAAACTTCGCGCTCGTGAGTTTTATACCTGAAACACTTGACTCCATTTATTTGCAACGAACCTATCGGGAAATACTCGATAATTTTGAAGCTCTCGTGGTATTACAACTGAAAATTTGGCAGAATCTGTCACCACGTTTCTTCTCGTTATATATTTTCAAGGTTTTGGAGTTGTCAGAGTGGAAATGAAGAAGTGAAATTAATCAACGCACTGCCCTCAGGGGCCTGCGGGGCGGGGGAGGGACGGGTGGAGTAAAAGGGGGTGGGAGGGGTAAAAAGGGAAAAAGGGGAGACAGACGAGAGGAAAAACGGTGGGAGGTGGGCAATAGGGGAGGGAAGACCTGCAATTTCCGATGAGCTTACCTCCGGGAAACCCTCCAAAAGCTAAACGTCGATACCGGGACAGCCGGGGCTAGTCAGCCATCTTGAATAAAGTACGGGGGGTTGTATACATTCAATGAACAAGTCGAAACTAATGCAATTCACCTTTAATTCTGCCCACCAAGCGAGAGCGTTTTACTGTGAAAGAAGAGGCTGAAATGTTTTATCGATAAAATCGACAATATTTTGTACTGATTCCTCTGGTGAATCGGGGGAAATTAAATGCCGGTGTTAATTGCAATTATTCAGCTAATCAACGATATCTTTTCATATTTCAATAATTAATTATTGATAATCAGTACATTGCAAGGGAATAACCCAAAATATGTTGATTTATCTCGGAAACTAGTCACTTTAGGGAGAAATGACAAAAGATTTTTTTTGTCGGATATTTAATCAGCTACAAAAAAGTTCTCTAGAGTTTTCAGATTGAATCAATTGTTTTCGAGATAAATCGGTAGTTAAGATAAATATGAATAAGGGATTAACGAAATTTCACACTTTGTTAATTATGAATTTATTTGCGAAACTATTGAGTTTAGAGGATAATTTGAAAAGACTATTTGTTTCTAAAATTTAATGATCTACAAATAAGTTCTTTAGAGTTTTCAGGTTAAATCAATTGTTTTCGAGATAAATCGGTAGTTAAAATGAATATTAATGCGGGTTTAACGAAATTTCAGACTTTGTTAATCATGAATTTATTTGAAAAACTATCGATTTTGGAAGGTAATTTGATAAGATCATATTTTTCTAGAAGTGAATAATCTACGCAAAAGTTATTTGGCGTTTTCACCTAAAATCCACGATTGCCCTAATAAATTCAAGTTTAAATTTGAATAAAAGTAAGTGTAAAATACTCGTTTAATTTTCCTTCGAAAGTATCAAATATCTTATTTTAGTAACGTGAACATCTGGTCACTGAGTAAATAGCGAGTATTATTCTTACCCTTTAGGATTACTTCTTGTTTTCCGGTGTCTTTGGAAGGAATACGCGCGATTAAATTACCAGAAAGGACGGCGCGTGCCAACCGCCGGTCTCAAAGTGAAAAACGCAAAAGAAGTGAATGAAAACGTTAATCTCTCGGCGATTGAGGCACATTAAGTTTTTTTTTTGTCAAGAGGATGAGTCTATTACCCGTCCCGATGACAAGATAAAATCTACTCGGCGCCGATAAAGAATTACGAGGGGATGCGACCGCAGTTTAATTACGGTGCATCCTCCTGTGGGTTTTATCGCGGGATTATCCGGTGGGCAATCACTTAGGAAATGGATGGTGTCGTACGGAGCCGTGGACCAATCACTCAATTTTTGTGGGGGTCTTTTCAACTGGTGCTTCGAGGGCTATAAGCCCGGCTCTGCCCACCACCCAATTCAGGTGGAGGTAAACACAGGTGTTGCTATCATCGAGAATAATCACAAGTTGCATTTGATTTCATGCACGGAGAGACATATTTAGTAAAAATTACGGAACTTTCAGTTCACTTACCGATTACGGAGTTGATTCGAAAAATTTAAGTGACGGTATCGTTATTTTTCACCGATAATTCAGATAAAAATTACGGAACACCGCGGAAAAATTCCGTGACTTTAGATAAAAATTACGTGACAGTTCCGTAAAATTTCCAACAACTACATTTCGCTCCAGAATTACGGAAAATACACGTAATTTTTATTGAATATTTCCCTCAGTGTGGGGATATGAAATAAAATTGATGGACGAATTGCCAAGTTGAATTTTCCGTCGAATCTATAGGAGTTCCCTGTTACATCCTACGGAACTCTAAAAATTATCATCAGATGTTTTCGATTTTATGCAGATCAACAAAGTTCGGAGAGAAATTTATCGATTGTATTTCTGATTGCGTCTGTAGGAGTTCTCTTTATATCTGACGGAACTCTCTTTAAAAATTGTACTAGGTCTATAATTATATAGGAACTCCGAAAAAAGATATAAGCCAAGAATTATGAGTGAGATTACCCTTGATTTTCAGGTCTCTATCTTGAATATATATATCTTGAATATATCCAATTTATATTTGAAATATATCTTTGAAATGAGCGATGAGATATATCTGTCCTCATATATATATATATATATATCCAAAATATATTTTGGGTAATGCATTATTTGCCGAAATATTGCCGATTGGCATATATCTCTGGGTGTGGAATATATTTTCTGCATGTGGAAATGTAAAACATTGGGAGAAAAACTGCCGTTGGATTTCTAGTGGAGTCTATAAGAGTTCCTTTAATATTTTATGGAACTCCGTTTGAAAATAACCAACAGAGGATATATTTATTTATTTATTTTTATGATATCGATTTCACGGGGATCAAGAATACTCATCACAAACTTGCCAAGTTGAATTTCTAGTGGAGTCTATAAGAGTTCCTTTAATATTTTACGGAACTCCGTTTGAAAATGACCAACAGAGAATATATTTATTTATTTATTTTTATGCTATCGATTTCATCAAAGACCTGCCAAGTTGAATCTCTAGTGGTCTTTAGGAGTTCCATTGAAATTTCCGAGAACTTTGTTGAAAAATTATCATCAGATATTTTTGTTTTATGTAGCTAAACAAAATTGTATAATCTATTATAATTGCAGTTCTAATAGAGTATGTTAAAGTTCTCTGGAAATTTGACAGAACTTTCATGAAAATTGATATCAGGAACTGTCTGCAATTCCACGGCGATGCCGAACAGAACTTGCCATAGAAGAAGTGCAGGATTGAATTTTATACGGGGTTCATAGAAGTTCTAATATTTTACGGAACTTTGTCAATTTTTTTTACGATTTCCATTGCGCAAATTTTCCAGTTCATATTACTCTAGAAAATTCCAGTGAATTTCTGATGCAACTCATAGGAGTCATAGGAGTTCTCTTGAAAACTCCTTTGGAGTTCCGTTCAAAACCCGTCACTTACACGAAAAATAATTAAATCATCTAATTGTATTGAATGTTAAAAATGTAATAAATAAATAACACCACTTATATTTATATGAAAAATCCATTAAATGGTCTTTTTTACATTTATTTATTTTTCTCCTGATACTAATAATGATAAATTACCGGACGAGTGTGATAATGCAACAGACGCTCATGTTAACAAAATCGTGAATTAAACCCGAAAAAAAATAGTCCATTCGTCACATGTGCCGGTGAGATCTTGTTACATGTTTCTGGAGTTCTCTGGGGTCACACCTGACTCTAGTTCCGATGGAAACAGGAAAAGGAAGTCGACCACATCGCGCCTGTTAGAGAGGATTGGGTTGACGGTATTATTTTTTTCGATATATCCGATAGAATCATCCGCGTGGAGCCATCAGGATGCTCTGGGATATTCCTTCTCTCTTGGGAGAACGGTTTAACTTCACCATCAGAGTATTGGTTTACATTGCCGGCCGATTGGGCCCGTGGTATTTACCCAAGGACCCAAAAGTTATTCTCGTTGACCGGCTTTTTTCCATGACGGGCTATTCCTCAGACGAAATAAAAATCGGTTAATAAAAAAAACATTTTGATCCAGTAGTGAATTTTTCACAATTATCCATTTAACTAAAGAAGTATCAATTTGCGGTGAAAACGGTACATTACTTTTTTGTAGCTAATTTAATTCCTGATAATCATGATCTTATGACATTTCCTCTTAAAATCGATAGTTTTCTCATAAATCGATGTTCAACAAAACACCAAAATCAACTGATTTCTTATGAACATTCTTCGCAATAATCGATTTATCGCGAAAACTATCGACTTAACGCGATAGACTGCGAATACCTTTTTTGTAGCTGATAAAATTTCTGTTACAAAATCTCTTATGACATTTTCTCCTAAAATGAATAGTTACGATGTTAAGGGCGGGTTTAAGAAGTAATGTAAAAAAAAAACGTAAAAAATTGGAGATTTTAAGAGAAAATGAGAATATTTGGGGTATGAAATTAATTATTTCCCCTGATTGACCCACCGAAAAGTGTCGAAATAAAAGGCATTACGAGCGAGTGATCTCACAAGCCGGACCACCGTGATCGGTATGGTGTTGAAATGCAATCGTTCCCCCTGAAACATGCGGATGGATCCAGGAACCGGGGATCACTGAATGACACCGATTCGTATAAAATGTCATCCCTCTCATCCCTTAACAACAGATGATCTAATTAGAAAAATAAAAAGTGATCATTGAGGGAAAGAGCAGGAGGCGTCATTGGAGAAGAGTTGGTGTGGGTGATAGCCGGAGCTGTAGTGGGGTGTGACCAGGGGACGGTTTCTCTTCAAGTTATTCTTGTCAGTCTGTCAAGGGGTGCCAAAGGGACCGAGGGCTATTGTCATTAACTCCCAGGAGTCAATCTCAATAATTGACCATTTGTTTCATCAATCCACCAATCAATCCGGTCAACTGCAAGTGCCATTTTGTGAATTCCAAGGGAGAGTTTTCCGTTGTGAATTTTTATTTGATTTCATATTTAATGAAAATCATTTGGCAATTCTGTGGACATTTTTTTAAGTCACTATCAGTGGATTGATTCATGTAATTGAGGACAAGTTGATGAAAGTGCGAGTGAAGTCTTCAGAGGAAAAGTTCAAAATTAAATCCATTTTCTAAATGAAAATTCAAAAATCAACAGCTTCTTTTTTATTCAATATGATTGATTTTTCTTATTAAACAGTGAAAGAATTAATCATTGGAATAATCAATCGGAAAAGTGTAAATGAATCCCTAAATCACGAAAATTTCTCCGGAAAATTACATTTCCAAAATTGAAAATTAAATATCTAATTAATTTCTGAGTGACAATTCTAATTGACCTCCAAGGAAATGTTGAAATCACCGACAGGATTGACCGCCATGTGGAAAATTATGAAAATCGTGAGTTCGGGGTAGATTTTCCGGTGGAAAATTCGGGCGCAATTTTCCCGGAGTACGAGACGATTGCAGGGATGTAATTAATCCAGTAATTATGAGCGAAGACTTCAAGGTAAGATTTCCGTTTTTCCCACGTGGAAAGCGCATGGGTATTCCGCGTGGGAAATCGTGGAAAATCGTGGGAAATTGATGAAAATCTAAGAAAATTGGGGGAGGGGAGGGCGGGCATTTAGTGGGAGGAGATTCTCTTGTTTTATTTTTATCGAGGGATTGTTTTGATCGGGTAGTTTGGAAGATGGAAAATGGAAAATAAAGGGGGATGTTAATGAAAAATACTTGCGGTTGTGCAGTGGGAAATCACGCGGGGTTGTCAGGACAACGAGGGGCTGGACCACGCAGCATCGCTCAGGAAAGGATAGAGGGGCCAGGGGGTGGATTCTGGGGGTGGAATACGTCCCAGATATTTATCAGAGATGGAGTTTCTGCAGAACCACCATTCGACCAACAGCTCAGAGCCTGCCTATACCCTAGGTACGTCATTTTACATTTCCCCCCTTTTTTTATTACACACCATATAAGGACAATTATTCCCACATGGAACACATACATATACATATACATATATATACATCTCGAAAACATTTCTCGGTTCTTGGATTTTTGGCCCAAAATTTAACCCCCATTTTTATTATTTGTATATCAAATATTTACATTATATGAGCTTTAGATATATCTACAGGTATATATTAAATATATCTTGGGTACCGCATTTTTGGCCGGACATATATCCGGATGTTATTCGGATATATTTTCGGATACTGAATTTTTTGCGCGGGTTGTATCATTAAAATTCACCGTTAAAACTGAATTAATAATTAAATCATAGATCTTTGGGAGAGTACTTGTCGGGAGGAGTTGATGAATTTACTGAAAATTTATGTTTCAAAAGATGTGTAAAATACATGGATTTTATATTTTTTTAATGTTTTCTTTAGGAATTGGGAAAAATGGAGATTTCCAGTCTTATATAAAGTTTTTAAATCGATTATCTGAAAGAATATTGATTTTAGGAGAAAATATCAAAAAGCCTTTCTTCTCGGAAATTCAATTATCTACAAAAAAGTTGTTGTGTGTTTTTACGATAAATTGATGATTTCAATCATTTAAACCGCATTTAATCAACAGATCAACAGTTGAAAATTAGTGATAATATTAATAATTTAAAACTACACATCATTTCAATTAATTCGGTCTAGATTACTCCTCCACAAACATTCATGAACCTCAATGAAGTAAAAAACAAAAAACAATAATACTAAAACAAAAATTCGAGAAAAATAAAAAGCTTAAGTGGAATTTATCTACTTTTAACATGCTTTATCTCGAAAACTATCGACTTTAAGACGATTAGCATAAAAATCTTTTTTGTTGAAAATTTAAAGAGCTCCAAAAAAGTTCCCTAAGGTTTTCCTCCAAAGTCGATAGGTCTCGAGATAAATAGATAATAAGAAAAAATGACTGATTTTCCAATTATCAAAATATCCATTTTGTCAATTATATATTTTATATATTTATATAGAAGTAGTCCAGTGGATATATGAAATTGATATGGTATTTTTATATATTTTTGTTTCGTCATTTACGGTACACAGTGATGAGTTACTCGAAAAATTGTCAAAACAAAAAAGTCAGTTTTTAAATTAAAAATTTAAAAAATATAGCAATTTTTTAAATAATCACTTTTTGAACTAAAGCTTTAATTTTGTTTTCACTTTTAATCACCATTAAATTTTACTGTTTAAAAGACTATAGGTTTTCCGCTGCTTTTGGGGCCAGGTGGATCATTGGGCCTCGAAAATTTTGAAAATTTTGAAAATTTTTGAAAGTTCGTAAACTAGAACAATTTACATACGCGAAAAGCCATAAACTAGAGTCATCATGTGACACCAGTTTCTAATGAAAGTTCAAAAGCAAAATGATATGCGTTCTGCGATGAATTGAAAATGGAAACGGAGAGAAATATTTAGTAATAATGACGGAAGTTTCAGTTCGCTTACCGATTACGGAATCTTGAAAAAATTGGAAGGAAGAAGGTGGTGGTATCGTAATTTTTCACAGATGACTCAGACAAAAATGAGGGAACCCCGGAGAAAAATTCCGTGACTTTAGATAAAAAGTACGTGAGAGTTCCGTAAAATTTCCTATAACCACATTTCGCTCCGGAATTACGCAAAGGACACGTGATTTTTATTGAATATTTCCGTCCGTGTATAATATTGTGGAAGCCATCAGGAGCCGAATACTATACCTTCTCATGATGTAAATAGTTGTAAATAATATGATTCCTCATAAAAAAAATATATATAAAAACCAATTTTCAAATAATCTAGAATTTCCAAAAATTTTTACTAAATTTTTTCCAAAAATCGATTTCAAAATTCCCTTTCGAGATCCGATGATGCCATTCGCGCCAAAACCAGCAAAAGGCATGGGATTTTAAACAGGAAAAATTTAAAAATTAAAAAATTGAAAGTGTTTTTTTTTCGATATTCAAGTTTTTGTGGCGAAAATTATCAATTTGATTCTAAAATTGTGATAATGATGATTAATTAAAAAAATTGCTATATTTTTCAATTCTTCACCTAAAAAGTGACTTTTTTGTTTTTACAATTGTTTGAGTAACTCATCACTGGAGGCCGTAAATTACGACTCAAAAAAAAGTTCCAAATTCAATTGGACCAAAACATGTGATTAAAAAACAAAATAAAAAAATTGGAGATGTTATATTTACGTGGTGAATGGATGGGCGCATTTGCAAATAAATAGGAAACCATGAGGGTTGAAACCTCACGAGTTAACGTGGAATGCCCTATATGTATTATGTATATCATGTATCCATTTTATATAGGAGAGACGGGCAAAATGGAATACCTGCGGGAAAGTGTTTTTAACGCATTTCCAGTAATTTTTTTTTTCGCCAAAAAATTTTGGAGACAGTCTAAAGTGTCAGTGTTTTTTTGCAAAATTAATTTTTTCTTTTAAGATTTTTTTGGATCTAGTAGCGAAGATATAAAAATTGCTTGAAATTTTGACATAATGTTTTTGAAATGATAACAGATGCCTGTATCAAATTTGAGATTGATTCACTCCACCGTTTTGCGGTCATTAATTATTCAAGTTTTCAATTAACACGGCCTCTTATGGAGAAAATAAAAATTTCTGTAAATATAGTCCAAAATATAAAATTTTGTTGAAATTTTGAAAATTTACTATTGAAGCAGATATGAAAGGGTGGGAAAAATTTCATGACGATTGACTAAATGTTTTTTTCATCAATTTGTTTAAACAATATAATATTTATTCATAAAATCAAACACAATATAATTATTTTCTATGGCTATTACTTCAACTAATTAACGTATAGGAATATTGATTGAAAATTAATTGAGATAAATATAACAAATCATAGAAGGTGTCATAAACTTTTGTTTTGACTGTACGTGCAGAACATCCTTAATTGAACTATTGTTTCCTTTTTTTTTTATTTTCCAATATTTTAAAAAAATGCGCCATCTAGGTTAAATCGCTCAATTTTGCTTTTGCAAAAATTTTTGTTGGATAGTTTTCGTTAAAAATTTTATGGTGAATAGTTCAAAAAATTAGTTACAAAATGACCTTTTGAACATTTGAACTTGAAACCTTTGAACCGTTGACCTTTTTGAACTTGAGATATAAATTTTTGAAATTCAAGCGACTTAACACGTGTTTAAATAGAGTTCCACCAATTAGAATTTTTAAAATATCAACGGCTCGACAGTTTTCGAAATAAAAAAAAAACATGGAATATACATCGTGAGAGGGAATGCAGAAAAAAAATCAAATCGATTAACCATTTGGTTTACGCGCTATAATTATGGAAAATCCATAAATTTATATAATTGAAAATAGTTAATATGGAAAATATACAGTTTTCGAAATAAAAAAAAAACATGGAATATATATCGTGAGAGGGAATGCAGAAAAAAAATCAAATCGATTGACCATTTGGTTTACGCGCTATAATTATGGAAAATCCATAACTTTATATAATTGAAAATAGTTAATATGGAAAATATATAGTTTTTGAAATAAAAAAAAAAACATGGAATATATATCGTGAGAGGGAATGCAGAAAAAAATCAAATCGATTGACCATTTGGTTTACACGATATAATTATGGAAAATCCATAAATTTATATAATTGAAAATAGTTAATATGGAAAATATATAATTTTTCAAATAAAAAAAAACATGGAATATATATCGTGAGAGGGAATGCAGAAAAAAAAATCAAATCGATTGACCATTTGGTTTACACGATATAATTATGGAAAATCCATAAATTTATATAATTGAAAATAGTTAATATGGAAAATATATAGTTATGCTTCAGCTATCCACGCACAATGCAATCAATCAAGCGCGACTGGATACCGTGAAAAGATTGTGTTCTAAACTAGCTCGTTTTACAGCGGATAAACTTTTTGCAGAGACTATCGCGATACAACAACCTTAAGATTTTTTATCAGTAATAAAATTCTGGAAAAACAAATTTGAATAGTGGATTGTTACGATGGACTCTTTTCCCCTCGTCTCCCATTGAACCCCTTCATTCAATCCATTTTAACCTGCGTCCCATTCTACCCGGCTCTCCCCTAGATTCCAAAAATCAATAATAATAAAAGTATATTTTTTATAATAATGAAAAATTATTTTTATATAATGTATATTATACATACATATATATGTATAACAATTCATATATAAATTCATACAATTCAAAAAATGAATCAATGATAATAAAATTATATTTTTTATAATAATGAAAAATAATTCATATATAATATATATTATATATGCATATATATGTATAACAATTCATATATAAATTAATATAATTAAAAAAATAAATCAATAATAACAAAAGTACATTTTTTATAATACTGAAAAATATTAAAAAAAAAATGGGAGATGAAGTAGAGATTGAAGACTTGAGACTGAACTATTTGGATTAATTGTTTGAAATAAGGTTTGAACGGGTTGTTAGGGTCAGTAGGCAGCATCGAGGCGAGCATTCCAAACGGTCTCTGTGGGACAAGTGTCCTGAGTGTCCTTGGAGGTGAGGAGACCCTGTCAGAGTCTCACAATCCAGGGGATGACGCGACTACAGCTGCTGCAGCTGCTGCTGCTGTAGCTCTAGGGAGTCTTCAGGAGCTGCAGTCAAGTCCAGGGGATGAGATAAATCCGGAGACAGGACAAGGGATTCATACCAACGGCCAGACACAAGTCGTCGGAGAATTCGGCGCGAGTTTTTGGGTTGATGACATGGCAGGATTTCCACTGCCTCCGCTGGACCTCGATCCATTGCCTCCAGGATTGTTCAGCCCTTGTTCTGCCACATACAAGTGAGTTTACTTTTTATTTATACCATTGAGAGGATTTTTAGTTAATTTATTTGAGTCGATTGCTAGATTGCATTTGAAAACCTTCAGGTGATCGGGTTGATGGGCAGAACGAAGTTATTTTTCTTATTTATTCTATATCTCGCGAAGGAATTGATCGATTTCCATTTTTCTACAGCCATTTTGAAGATTGGAAAATACTCTTTAATTTGGTGTTCGATAAGTTGAATTATATTCAGTCGATCTCCAGTTATCGAGGGTTGAACATAGAAGTTCATGCGATGTTCAGGGATCTAGGATTTGAGAAACTTTTCTTCATTATTTTCATATCTTCCAGAGAAATTGATCGATTCGATTAATTTCAGAGTCATTTTAAAGATTGGAAAATTCTCTTCAATAAAAAAAAATTGTTGAATTATATTAGGTGAATATCGAGTTGTTTACAGTTGGATCCAATAATTTAAAAGAGACATATTGAATTTCAGTTGGGGATGCACAAGATCGGACTGCATGCCCCGGGCAGGAAATCCCAATGGAGAAGGTGTTGCCGACGTTTTGCTGTCCCTGAAACACGCTGTTGTCCATCCAGCAAGTCCCACTGGTGGTTATTACACATCTCCAGTGGGAAATCATCATTATGGTCAAGAATACGGACAAAATCTGGCGCCTCCACCAGTGGCTCCTAGTCATTACGCCGCTGGACCCGCAATGTCCGTCAATGTCTCCATGAACATGACCATGAACATGAACATGCATCCAGGGTAAGTGTACATTTCGATTGCAAGTAGTTAATCAGGCATTTAGCATCAAACACTTGTCCGTTGGCTTCAATTTCCATTTACAGAAATCCGAATGCCACTGAAATATCGATTTATCGAGGAATTTATCGGTTTTATGGAAAAATATGAAAAGCTCTTTTATTTCGCAAATCTGATTCGCTATAAAAAAGTCCTTAACAGTTTTCCTATTAAATCTATTGTTTTGGAGATAATGGGGGTGAAAGCAATTTGATATCAACACAATAATTCCAGAACTCCACGTTTTTCAATTTGAATGTGGAGTTATCTCAGAAACCATCGATTTCAGGAGAAATTCAGAAAAGCCATTTTCTCTCGGAAATTAGATGGGCCATAATAAAGTCCTGTACATTTTTTCCATAAAATCGTTAGAAATTAAGAAAAACACGAATTAATGTGGACATCGACATGGAGATAATGGGGAAATGATCGAGGGGTTATTCCTTGGTAAAATGACGGTATCACTTTGGATTGAAATCACTTGAAATCAGAAGAAATATGTGGGATATGATGCCATATGATTTCATCGATTTCAAGTGAAATCCCGCTCTGGACTATCAATTTTTTTCAGTAAATTTTTCTTGTAAAATTATATCGAGAATTATCCTGTTTCCCTCCCTAGTCACAAGATGTTGAACGCTATAAAAACTTCTCCTCTTCTATCAAATCAGAAATCAGTGAAGTGACTTTTCATATTCCAAATTTCTTCACTACACGGAGAGAAATATTTAGTAAAAATTACGGAACTTTCTGCTCATTTACCGATTACGGAGTTCATTCGAAAAATTGAAGTGATGCTATCGTAATTTTGCACCGGTACTTCAGATAAAAATTACGGAACACCGCAGAAAAATTCCGTAACTTTAGATAAAAATTACGTGATAGTTCCGTAAAATTTCCGACTTAAATGTCCATTTTTATTGAATATTTCTCTCGTATAACACAGGGTAGTTCTCAGACGAAGAGAAATATTTAGTAAAAATTACGGAACTTTCTGTTCATTTACCGATTACTGAGTCGATTCGAAAAATTGAAGTGACGGTATCGTATTTTCGCGCCGGTACTTCAGATAAAAATTATGGAACACCGCAGAAAAATTCTGTGACTTTAGATAAAAATTACGTGATAGTTCTGTAAAATTTCCGACTTAAATGTCCATTTTTGATGAATATTTCTCTTGTATAACACAGGACAGTTCTCAGACGGAGAGAAATATTCAGTAAAAATTACGGAACTTTCAGTTCTCAGCTTACCGATTACGAAATCAACTCAAAAAATTAAAGTGATGGTATCGTAATTTCTCACTGATAATTCAACTGAAAATTACGGAACTCCGGAGTTCCGTAAAATTTCCTCCAGCCATATTTCGCTCCGAAATTACGCAAAACCAAAACCACGCAAAAGAAACGTGTTTTTAAAAATATATTCTCTCCGTGCAGCGAACGTTTTTTCAGTAAAAAAAAAACAAATTCTGGAATCAAACGGATATTTTCCAAAATCTTCCAAGTAATCGTTCAGCATATACAGACAGATTCATTCATTCCTATTTCGCTCACTTGCCTAATTGCTATTCCACAAATGACTCAATCAAAAATTCGAAATCAATTGCAATCAACAAAAATCATGCGAAATCATTTGAAATGACGAGAACGTGAGAAGAACTCTTAGAATCACTTAAAATAAATAAATCCCCGGAATCATTTGAAATCACTTTGAAATGATGTAAAATGATTGTGTCACGATATTGGAGAATGAATAATCCTCCGGAATAATGGAAGTTCTCTCAGTTTATTTATAATTTGACGAAATAAATATTTATAAAATATAAATAAATATTTATAAAATGACGAGAACGTGAGAAGAACTCTTAGAATCACTTGAAATAAATAAATCCCCGGAATAATGGAAGTTCTCTTAGTTTATTTATAATTTGACGAAATAAATATTTATAAAATATAAATATAAATATTTATAAAATATAAATAAATATTTATAAAATGACGAGAACGTGAGAAGAACTCTTAGAATCACTTAAAATAAATAAATCCCCGGAATCATTTGAAATCACTTTGAAATTATGTAAAATGATTGTGTCACGATATTGGAGAGTGAATAATCCCCCGGAATAATGGAAGTTCTCTTAGTTTATTTATAATTTTTTCAGGTACGACCAGAGTTATGCATCGGCTTGGGGCGTGGAACCCTTGTTGAGTCCCGCCTCTCAATACAACCCGATGCAGGAGTCGCAGTCGAGGGTAAATCAGACATCCACCAATAGCTTTGTGGGTGCACACCCCTCGCATTCTCATCCCCACACCAGAATACAATCCACCGGCAACGAGCACGCGCTCTGCGTATCAGCCAATACCTCGGGTTCCAGTATTATTCATGACGACAATGGGAGACCGAATTTATGTAAAATCTGTGGAAAAACTTATGCAAGACCTAGCACGCTTAAGACACATCTTAGGACGCACTCGGGGGAAAAACCCTTCAGGTACGTCGTAAGAGGATTGGACAATTGTAACAGCATTTCAGGGAGACCTTTATTCGTTTATTTTTTACAAAAATTGACGTATTTTTTATTGAAATTTGAACAGAATCTTTTTTTCTCGTGATAACTCTTGGCATTGAAGATCGGCTCGATCAAATAATTAATACCGGAGAAATTCAAATCGTGCCTCCATTTTTAAAAAAGACGGTAACATTTTTTGTCATCGATCTTATTCTGGGAAATACGATATATATATAGGGTCGTATGTGGGTCGTATATATACTATATATGATTAATATCAGTATATATTTTATACAGATATGTATATAGCATTTTTTGGCAATTTCGCCATTTTGTTTTAAATCTGATTTTTTTTTTTTTTAAATTCAGAAAATTTACCATCGAAAATGTATTTTTAAATTGTTTGCTCATTTAATTCTCATCTGAAGAAAAATAAAAAACAAAAATTGGTCTTTCTGAGATCAATTTGTTATCATTTAATAATTAAATTCCATACATATATATGTTTAACAAAAAATTAGATTGAAAAAAAAATGGAGAAGTTGCCGAAATCGACGATTGAAATTTTCTATTGCAATCTTTTCTATAAAGGAGGGGTGAGGGAAAAAATAACCGTTATTTCGGAAAAGTAAGGAAATTTCGGAATTCATGAAAGGATCATCCAAAATTGACCAAAAATGGCGGATTTTAAGTAAGACTGAACCAGTATTTGAACAAGAGAAAAAATAATTGGATTTTTGGCAGACCTTTTTATGAAAAATTACCAATTTCGAGGAATTTTCACTACATATTGCACCTATAAAAATGGCTGCAATTGAAAAAAAAATCCTTTGTTCAAAAAGTGAGCAATAGTATCTCGAAGACGTGTGCAAAATTTGATAAAAATCGGTTGGGTACTGACTTTAAAAACAGAGTTTCGAGAAAAACGCGTTTGAACTCTTGAGCGACAACAAAGCTGGCCCTGGGAGCAGAATTGTTCAAGGCTCTGTCTCCAAAACTTTAACTCCAATCGATGTGAAATTATTGGACAATATTACAGACATTGTAGAAATTAATAAGATGATAAATAAAAAATCGATTGTTTGAAGCTGATACAACCCCTTAAAAAATGGTAAAAATTCTAAATTTCCAGATGTCACGCTTGTTCGAAAGCGTTTAGCCAAGCAGCGAACTTGACAGCCCATGCGAGAACCCACTCCGGGGAAAAGCCCTTTCGATGTCCAGTGTGCGACCGAAGGTTCTCCCAGAGTAGTTCCGTGACGACGCACATGAGGACCCACTCCGGCGAGCGTCCCTACAGGTAATTCCCAATGGTCACTTCATGAGCTGTCCCTAGGCTGGAATAAAACGAACCCTAGAAAATGTAAAAATCTCGCTACAGAGAAACGAGAGTTCTCACTTGCCTCAGTCCCAACAATCGTCCCCACAATTGTAATCAAATAAGCAACTCTCCCATTTTAATCACGGTTTCCAGAATCAAGAGTTCCTCCAATTTATGATTTTTTCCCAACAGAGAGTTCTTGTTCCTTTGGATTCTTAGACTTCAGAGTTCCTTCGAATCAATTTAAAAAATGGTTTTATTTGTGAGTTTTGTATTTGAAGTTTGCAAGAGTTCCCCAACAGGGAAATCCCGCCAATCCTCGGAACTCTTGCTCCTAATCCCCTTTCACTTGAATCAAATGAAAATCCTCTATATGAATCGAGGATTCTAGGATCAGGAGTTCTTCTAATGTCTCGCCTTTTTTCAAAATCAAGAATTCTTGCTTCTTTGTATTCCTAGATTTCAGATTTACTCTGTGAATTTCGGATATAAATTTTACCCGAGGTTTCCTGCAGAGAAACTTCATTTCAGGAACTCTTGATTCTAATTATTTTCTCTTTGGCTTAATTAAAAAAAAAACTTCCTCATTTTAATCAAAGCTTCTAGCATCAAAAGTCCCTACAATTGTTGGCTCGAAAGTGTAAACTCTTGTATTCTGCATTCCTAAATTCCAGAGTTCTTTCCAATCTATCCTTCAAAAGAAAAGTTTCTCTTTGCGAATTAAAATCTAGACTTCATTAGAGTTCTTCAGCAAGCCAACCTTTAGTCTTCGGAACTCTTGATCTTAATTCCCTCTCTTAAATCAAATAAAATTCTTTATATTAATCAGGGATTTTAGAATCAGGAGTTCCTCCAATTGCAGCCTTTTTCCAAAAATCTTCTTACTTCCCCGCATTCCTGAATTCAAGAGTTCTCTCCATTTTTCTGAAAAATCTTTTTCCTCTGTCAATTTCAAATCTAAATTTTGCCCGAGCTTTCCAGAATAATTTCGTGAATTTCTGGAACTCTTGATCCCAGCCTTTGCTCTCTCACTTAATTAAAAGCAAACTTCCTTATTTCAATCAAAGCTTCTAGCATCAAGAGTTCGTACCATTAATTAAAGTCCATAGTTTTTCCAATTTGCCCTTCATAATAAGAAATTTTCCTCTGCCAATTAAAATCTAGATTTTGTTGGAGTTCTTCAACAAGACAACCTTTAATCCTCGGAACTCTTGATCTTAATTTTCCTCTATTGTATCTAATAAAAATCCCATTTTTTATCACGGAGAGAAAAATCCTAATCCGAAAAATTACGGAACTTTTGCGTAATCGTGGCATCACCTTGTTTTTCATGAAAAATTCCTGAAAGTTCCAGAAATGTCGACCCGTTTTACAGTAGCTCCAGTACTTAAAACTTGACATTACTCCTCAAAAAGTTCCGTAATGTTCCAAGTATTTTCCTCTTCGTGCAATGGATGATCCAGCGATCAGGAGTTCCTCAATTTTTTTTTCAAAACAAGAACTCTTGCATCTACGCGTTCAAAGTTCATTCAGAGTTCTATAACTATCTAATCTATAATCTATCTAATCTATAACGAAATTTAAAAAAATGTTTTGTTGAAATTTTAGATGCAGATTCTGCAAGAAAGCATTCTCGGACAGTTCCACCCTGACGAAACACCTGCGCATTCACTCCGGGGAGAAGCCATACCAGTGCAAATTATGCTTACTACGTTTCAGCCAAAGTGGCAATTTGAACAGGCACATGAGGGTCCACGGTGGCTCCCTGACGTGACACACTACGACCAATCAATCATTATCAATCGATTGTACATGCACCACATTTCCATACTGTCGAATACCAGCCTGTATTCGACTCGGTTCCAACTTACAACGAAATTATTAAATTTTTAGCATTTTACCGAGAATTTATCATTAAAATAATTGAAGCGAGTGTCAACGAAAGTGTTAAAATTATCTCGAGTATTTCAGAAATGTTTCTCTCCTCGAAGCCAAACAAATCCTGTGATCTCTTTCCTATGACAGAGCTATTCACTATTTTGAAGTCATTGATTATTAAAAATCAGAGTGCGCTCGGGCCACACGGCAGAAGTGAAACTTCTGGAAGGATTCTCACATATTGCAAACTATTGACCTTTAGAATCTCTCTCTCCATTCTCATTCCGTAATTACTGGATCGATTTTGAAGAGTATTAATATGAGAATAGTTACACAGAATGGTGATACCACGTCAGATCAATGAAAAAGGATCTCTAGCTTTTTTATTTCTAATAGCAGAAAGAAATGTCTGATGAAAGAAAAGGAATAGAAGGGAGAGAGGGATCACTACATCCGTCACATTGATTGTGTCACTTCCGTTTCTATTTTCGTAACGATTTTTCATTTCACTACCCCTGCCAAAAAGTATCACTTCAAAAATATCACTCATCAGTCAATAGAAAAGGAGTAAAGTGAAACTCCATTTTTTCACTAGAACCATTGATCCTCGGAGGAAATGCCAAAAGACCATTTTCCTTGGAAATTTAATGACCTACAAAAAATGCCTTTATCATTTTTATCGTAGACCAACCATTTCCGAGATATCCCATAATTAACAAGAAAAAATATTCAATTAATGACTTTACTTTTTGACTACTGAAAAAATTCGACGAAAAAATCAGAAATAAGAAAGAGTCGATGAAAATCTGTTGTGGTTCCTCAAATGCGTCTTTCGAAATAGTCTCCAGCTCTGGATCGAGGGAATCTGAATCGAAAAAAATGGCAAGAAGCCCTAAACATTCACCACAGCACCGTTGATTATTGTACAAATATTGTATTTATTGTAATAATTATTATTAATCATAATTAATATTAATGTTGCGGTACTCATCACCGTATCATTTATTAAATCATCGTCTATGTTTCATCGCACTTTGTTATCTTCTCTTCCCCATCAATCCGCAATTTATTTACCCAACAATGACTCAATCCATTCCAGCCTTCTCTCACGTTTTGTTGGATCTCTAGTTTTTTTTTTTTTTTGTAAAATAAAAATGTGTTACTTCTTTTCAATCATTTTTTTCTCTCTCACCAGGGTTTACGCATAATTAATTTCGTGGTACTCAGTATTATATACATGCAGGTGGATCTTATCGATGAGAAGTTCTCTACAACCGATTCATTAAAGAAAATGGGGTGATAATAATGAAAGAATCGAATAATTTGGGATCATCCAGTGGTTCGTCTCGTTTAATTGATTATTTCCAATTTTCAATCTTTGAGAGACTGAAAAAAAAATCAAAATGTGGAAAAAATTTTGGCTCTTGAATTCTCAGCGCAAGAGAGATCGTTTTTTTTTTGTAAAATCTTGAACAAATTCTTCATTTCATAGAAACAGGACGAAGTGAGTTAAGATTGATTGAAGGCAGAAGAATATTTCTAATAATTGTTTAAAAATACGAGGTGAGGACCACCGTTGTGGAAGCCATTTTAGATGAGAAGACATTCAAGATGGCGACCCTCGTATGTGCCACCTTTCCATCACCTCGTATTTTTGAAGATTTATTAGAACAGTTTGTCTTCATCAAACTCTATTCAACCCACTTAATTCTGTTCCTCAAAAATGAACAATTTTTTGAAGATATCTTTCATAAATATGTAGCTTTAAGAATTCTCGACCTAAAGTTTTTCCCCCATTCCAGTATTTTTTTTTCTCTTCCAAAGGCCTCTCAAGATGAAAAAATACTGGAAAAACCTACAAATCCCCTGGAATATCACTAGCTCTAAAAATGGAGGAAGAGGAAGAAGAGGAGGCCTCTTGTGATCGACTGTTAAATTTCTCAATTATTTATATATAATTTGTTTCTTGCAAATAGGAGGGGAGTGATTTAACAATGGAAACATGAAGAAAATGTTACATTTACTTCGAATTACTTCATCGCCACATTGATTTCCCTCTCTTTCTCAGATTAAAAACTATAATAAGAACAATTTTTCTGTTTCATTTATCTCCATTCCTTTCTCCACTTAATCCCAAGTCATTTACACATTCTCAAATTCATTCGTACTCTGTCTTTCACTCTCGATCTCTAATATGTATAATGATGTATAAGTAATTAATATTTCTTAGAAAAAAAAAAGGAAAAAAAAAATTGTATAATGCATCTAACTTGTAATGTTACTTTGTACGAGTGCGCTAAGACGAGTTGACAAAATTTTATTCAATTTTTTCTACATCCTCTCTATCTCTCTCTTTCTCTCATGCTCTCTCTCTCTCTCTCTCTCTCTCTCTCTCTTTCTCTCGTATTAATTAGTCCTCGCAAACGTACGCAGTTTAATTTTTAGTTTACGCATTTTTTTTATCATTTTTATCATTTTTTTATGCACGTAATCTACATAGAAATATTTTTATCCTCGCGTCTGTCATTATCCTGTGTACATGAATTGTATGTGATGCTCACGTATCTCATTATTAACTCAGTTATTTCCATTTCAATAAGATAAGTTTTAATCAGGGATCACTTGTTCTAGAAAAAAAAAAGAAAAATCAAAATGAATTTTTCATCACTTCGTCGGTTGGAATGAGTCAAATTTTCTCAAACTTCTTATTCACAAATCCGCGATGGTAGTTGCACTCCACAAACTGATCAATTGCCAGAGAAATATTGAATAGAAAAAAAAAACGGCCAAATAAACTGAATAGATATGTTTCTCTCTAAAATATATGATCAATTCATTTTATTATAATTACCAAATAATCTATCGATTTTCCACCGTTTAAAAAACGTCTCATCCATCCTCACCTACTCCATAAAATTCCACTGAAAAAATACTCGACTTAATTGCTACTATTACTCATACCATTAATTAATAAAACTCGATGTTTCACTCTCTCATACTTTCACTCTCTACCACTTTCACTCGACGTTTTACCAAAAAAAAAAAAAAATTCTCAATTTAAAATGACTCCTGACTTTTCATACAAAATACTCTACCATCGCGGTTTCCTCACCACTAAAAAAGAAAATCCAAAAGTTCCTAAAACACAGGGAGGAATTAGTCCTGATGGATTTATAAATATAAGAGGATATTTCCAAGTCTGTTGTCACATTTTTACTGTATCAAATAGTCTCAAGCCCGCAAATGTGACGAGAAAATTACCACAATAATTATCTCTCATCTGTACATGTGGTGCCCCGAAAAAAAAGGGCCCCATCAATCACACATTTGCGAGACACTGAACAAATCATTTGAGTTCGTCTCTCTGGTTCTGGGTCTCATCAGTTGTCTCTCGATAGTTATATATTTATTTTATACTTTTATATATATAATAACATATATATAAGTTTTTCTCGTTTTTAATTTTTGTATCATCTTTTTAGTCGTCTCATGCTGGACGTCACCGATTCCTCAAGATCTTGTTGATATCAGCATCACTTGGATAATCACTCCACTCTCAATATTTCCACCATTAAAAAGAAAGGTATCAAATCGACCCACGACCTCCTCCCAATTACCAATCATCTCTACCCTTTATTCAACCGATCACAAACCCCAAATCACGTGATAAAGAAATAAGAGAAATCTGTTTTAATGGTGTACCTCATATATTACACATCAATTAAATGTAAAATACCTTCAATGAATGAGAATCAGCGGTTGAGTAAATGAATGGAAATATCGACGACATTTAAAAAGAAGAAAAATTATTTAATGATTTTTTTTATCAATTTCTCTCGATTCAATGCAAAATCTCCACGAAATACAAAAAAAAAATGCGACGCTGTAGATTTCCAGGAGGAAGATTTCTAGAGAATAACGAATACGAGGGTATGAGCCTAGATAAAAAAAATTCACGTGTATGACGTTGAGAGTAAAAAAGAAAAAAAAATCCCTTTTCTTCTATTAAATCTAAAAAAAGTATTCTAAAGAAGCATCTTGTCTTGATCCTCTTGTTATCTACAGCGATCGCTATTTTTTTTTCCTCACTCTCTTCCCCATTCAATTATTCCATTAATCTTGACATAAACATCCACAATTATATTCGACATACCAGAAAAGCTTCACAAGAAAAAAAAAACGAAAAAAAAAGAGATTGAAATTCATTAAACGCATTCTCACATTCATCCACTCATTTATAATTCTTGTTTCCCTCTCTTCTTGCTCCTCCCCCATCCCACCCCTCCCCACCCATCGTCGCACAAAATAACTTTTATATCATCATTACTCAGGCATTCTTCCAGCTCTTTCACTCTGTTATTATTTTCTTCATTAATCTTTAGGTAATTCATTCCTTTTCGTTCTCGGAAGCAGCGGACAGATTTTGGAATATCATTTGTGCACAATTAATGCACGTAAATAATCATAAATCAATTATCTTTTCTTTCCTCTCGTGATAAAATTGAAGGTGTAAAAGAAACGGAAAGAAAAAACCAAAAAAAAAAAGAAAAGAAAAAAAGAAAAGAGGAAACAGCATTTTAGTCTTTTCGAATCCTCAGGGTGAAGTGACAATTTCGATTGAGTGAATTGAATTTGAGACGAATGATAATGATGTCGTGCATACGGTGGAAATGATTTAACAATCAGATGTTTTTTAATTGTTGAAAAAGGGAGTAGATTAGACAATAAATTTTTCATCTCAATTGATTATTCCCCTTTTGTCTTTTCTTTCTTTTTCTCTTTTTTTTTCTCTCCCCCTTATATCTCGTGGATGTTGAAAGAAAAATATGGAAAATGAAAAATTATTCTCATGGTCAACGTGGACTTGGGGCTGGTGGACTTGGTCGTGGATCAGGATCAGTAACTATGCTGTGTGGTAAACCAGGCAGACCAGCACTTGGTGGTGCACTTGCTGGTCCACCACTTCCACCACCACCAACTGCTGGACCACCACCACCAACTGTTGGCCCAGTACTGCCACCACCAGCCGATGAGTTTGGACCACTAGCACTACCACCACCACCACCACCAACAACTGTGTGTCCACCAGGTGGTGGTGGAGCTGAATCATGGGGTGTCGTTGAATGCGCCTGTTGCATTGGCAGAGCTCCCGCGTAGTATCCACCGTTTATAGCCTCTGGGTAGCTGCTGCTTGAATAAATAATCATCATGTATTCATCATGAACAATCAGCAGTTCAAAAAATATCACCAATCCAGAGATCAAACCTCTCAAAAATCTCCAACAACGTTGAACGTCGGATAATTTTATTTTTCCAATCTGTTGAATATCGATTGATCAAAAATTATTGGGTTTGGTGAAAAATACAAAGAGAACTTTTTTCTAGAAAATTTAATCAGCTACAAAAAAGTTCTTTACTGTTTCCCCCTAAGACCAATAGTGTCGTAGATTAATCGATAATTAAGATGAAAAAATGGTTAATTAATGAAAATTCAGATAATTTGATTTTTCCAATCTGTTGACTATGGATTGATCGAAAATTATTGGTTTTGGTGAAAAATACAAAGAGAACTTTTTTCTAGAAAATTTAATCAGCTACAAAAAAGTTCCTTACTGTTTCCTCCTAAAACCAATAGCGTCGTAGATTAATCGATAATTAAGATGAAAAAATCATTAATTAATGAAAATTCAGATAATTTGATTTTTTCAATCTGTTGAATATCAATTCATCAAAAACTATTGGTGTTAAGCGAAAATACCAATACCATACCAATAATTTCTGAGATTAATCAACAGATAAATAAAATGAAAAAATGGTTAATTAAGAGATGAACTTTAATTAAATCATTTCACTACTTCGCCTCTATGTTAATGAATAATATAACAATTGAAAGATCAATAAATAATAGGCAATTGATTATGTAATATGATAATGAATAATAAATTTTTTCAGGTTTGTCGAGTTTTTTTTTCTTTTCTGAATGACGTGAATTATAAAAAGATGTCTCACCCAGTGGACGAGTGGAAATACTCTTTATTAACGCAGTTCCTCAAGCAATCAGGAATACGGCCGACAATAGCTCGTCGTATCTCAGTCGCAGCCATTTCCCGTAATTCCGAGCAACTTGCATCGCTGTAGAATGCAGCGTGCGGTGTGCACAGTAGATTTGGTGCATCCTTTAGTGGACCTGAGCATGAAAAAAAGAAAAAAAAAATCGAGATTATCTGATTCCAGGGGTTTACAATAGAGCATTAACGATTGATAATGCTGGATGAATTATTTCCACAAGACATCAGTCAGTCTGAGGAGAGGGTGAGGCCTAGATAAGACTCACATTGGGCATTTGACTGACCCTGAAAGACATTGTATGGCTCGTTCTCATGGACATCGAGGGCTGCTGCACGAATTCTTCCCTGTTTCAGTGCAGCTGCCAGTGCATCGTCGTCCACGAGGCCACCTCGTGCTGTGTTTACTAGAAATGCTCCAGGTCTCATCTAGAATAACAATAATAATTTACACGTTTAATTTTAAAAGAGCCAAACGAATCCACTATATTTGTCATATTTTTTATCTCGAAAACTAACGGTTGAAGAGAAAAATTGTGGGTAACTTTTTTGTAGATAATTTAATTCTGAACAAAAAAGATCTACTCATATTTTCTCTTAAAACCAGTAGTTTCCAAGTTTCGACGTCATTTTAATGAAAACTAAAATGGAAAAGTCTCTAAATTCATAATTTTATGGAAATAAATTAATAAAAATCAAGTAATGAGGGGAAAACAATGATGAAAATTTCATCAGCAAGTGGTTAAAGACGAATTGATTAATTGGGAGTGATTATTGACAATTAAGGAGTACCTGTTTGATGGTGAATTCATTAATTAAGTGATGATTATGCTCATTGAGGGTACAGTGGAGTGATACACAGTCAGACTGATAGAGCAAATCCTGTAGCGTGTAGACTCTCGTGAGACCGAGTGATTTTTCAATGCCATCGGGTAGATAAGGATCGTAGAACATGACGATGAAGCCAAATGCTTTGGCACGAAGTGCAACTGCCGATCCAATTCTACCAAGACCAACGATACCAAGTGTATCACCTCGTATCCTGGCGCAACCCTGGGCTGCCTCTCTCACCTGCTCAGGCCCAGTGAATTTTTTACCCTCTCGTACCATATTTGCAAGCCAGTACGTACGACGATAAAGATTGAGAATGAGACACAGCGTTGTGTCAGCAACTTCCTCAACACCATAACCAGGTACATTGCATACAGCAATGCCAAGCTCACCAGCAGCTTTAACGTCAATGTTGTCAACCCCCGAGCCAATTCTCACGATAATTCTTAGTGTTTTGAACTTTTCAAGGTCCTCTTTTGTTAGAATAATAGTGTGCCACATCAGTGCTCCAACAGCCTCATTTAGTACCTGATTAAATCAAAAATTCATTATTTAGAATTCATTTACTTGTTTTTCATGTTTCAGAAAAAATAAGAGTTAAACAATTCTATCATTGGGATTTTAAAAAATCTAAAATCTTGATTTATATCATTTATTTTCTTGGATTTCTATTGGATGGATCATGGATTTCTATTTACTATTCCATTTTTAATAAACAATTAATCTTAATAGATATTTCTCGTTTCTAAAATCATTTAGATGTTTTATAACACAAACAATTATCTAATAAAGACTCCAATTACTTTATTAATTTCAATTAGCAAACTGTTAAGATGAGTGAAATTTTACTTTATCTAAATATTAATTTATCTGAAAGACTATTGATTCCAGGAAAAAATGGGATAGGACATTTTACGTGGGGAATTTATTGTGCTTCAAAAAAGTCCTCTACCATTTTCACCTGCACCGACAGATGCTCAAGATAAACGACAAACACAAGAGTGTCGAATTGATCCCATGAAATTTTCCAATTTCCTCACCTTTTCATGGATTTCCGATGTGGATTGGGCGTCACAAAACGCAACAGTAGCAACGTCCTTAAGAATTGGCATCTCAATGGAACAATCACGTCCATCAAGAAGTGCAACAAGCGGTCGAGTTTGGATGGGCCCATTGGCAATAGGGCCCCTCATGGTATCCATTCGCGGGCGTTTCGTCAGCATCTTACGTTTGTCCATCGGTCAGACAGCCCCCCTATTTTGTAATCTCACACCTCTTTTCAAAAAAAAAAAAAAAACAAACCAAAAACCAATCCCCAATCCACTGAACCCCAGGCAATAGCTCCAAACTTTTTTTTCAATATTTATAAACAAAAAATGGGAAATAAAAAATATTAAACTCCCACCTAGAATTCGGTTTACACTTCTAAACAGTCCACGTAACCAAAACAAAACAAAAAAAAATACCACTGTGTCGTTTAAATCTGTCTTAAACCCTCGTATTGGGAAAAAAAACCCTATGATTATCTTATCGCACTTTATTGATGCTTCGTCACACTGATTGTTTCTTCACTACGGCGGTTTCATACGTATTCGAGGGTGAATCGTCGAATCTCCAAAACATCACGAAGTCGTGGTGTGCCGACAGTCCTGAAACATAAATTAATTTCATGTACTCAATAAATCTGTTGTGAACTAGACAACAGGTAAAACGTGTTGAGTTTTTCGTACATATCTCCGAAACCAGAGGAGATACAGTTATTTATAACAGAACCTTTTTTGCAGGGCTCATTTAGGACTACAAAAAAGGTTCACATATCAATTTCGATAGCAGTGATGGATACCGAGATATTCGGGAAAAACTAATCGACTGAGAGAATTCACTTGGCACATTTGAACGTTCGGCGCCGAATTATTTGGGATATATCTCCAAAACCAACACAGATACCGATTTTTTTGTAATGACTATTTTTGTAGGCCTCATTCAGATTCACAAAAAACTTTCCAACAAAAATTCCATTATTTCCCTCAATTCCCGCGATATTTGAAAAAAAAGCAGAAAACACCTTAGAAACACAAATCACTGATCACCATCAATTTAAATTCTTCATTAAACTCAAAAACTCCCCCTAACCCCCCTAAACTCATCAAAATTGCCCTGAAAACCCCCAAGAAAACCACCCAAAGCGATTCCCTCCACCCACTCTCACCAATTTCAAAAATATCTCCAAAACCGCCGTATATCGGAGATTTTCCACAAAAACCAAAAGCCTCCCTCCAAAAACTTTCCCCCAAAGCCTCAATTATTCCCAAAAAAAAACTCCACAGCCAACTGAAGAGCAACACAAATCACTAATTAACGTTAACCCCAAATGTACAAATGGAAAACCTCCAGAGAGTCGTTGAAAAACCCTTGAAAAATGGAAGAATTACCGGTAGAATGTTGAGAAAAATCTGAAAAATAATGACAAAATGGATAAAATCGAGGTAAAAGTGGTGTGATAGTGTGGAATTTTGGTGGTGCGTACAACATTAAGTTGATACCGTTTTCTTTTGAGGTTACCTGGAAGCGCGCCGGCTTGGCACGACATGAAAATCCAAATTGCCAAGTGGCAAATTGATAAAATCACTGCACACCCACACCCTGACCACCCCAGACCTCTGATTAATATCAAATAAGAGGTGTAAAATGGTTATAAAGGTTTAATGTACCGGTAAGATGTCACAAAGCACCCTTTGCGTATCCAAAATGATTCTCTCCGTCTTCGGCTGGGGCTGATGTTTTTGGATTAATGCGTACGTCAGGTCCTGGCGTTGGTCAGAGGTGGATGTATCATGGGGTGGGGATTACAAGTTGTTTCTAACGTTTGGGATGATGTTTTTAGCTGTCTCATGTATCAAATGCGTTACAGACACTACGATTTATTAACTAATCGAAGGGGAAGGGGGCAATGCTTCGCGCTCGATATTTGGAGACAAACCGTCTTCCTGGAGCATCAATCAGCGACTTTTTTTTTCATTTTCTTTCTATTCCCGGCGTTCAGACAGAATATCTTGCCATCTGATGGAGATAGCGCGATTTTTCAAGAGGACTTTTTTGGAGGGATTTTTGAGAGCTTGAAAAAAGGTTCTGGTGAAAGTTTTCGTAGGTTGAGGGCATTCGCTGATATTCGGGGAGAAACGTTTGAATAATCTCTACTTGAGGTTCCGTACTGATTTAATCATAATCATTGATTAATTATTGGGAATATCTTGTCAACTGTTGGAGATAGCGCTATTTTTCAAAAGGACTTTTTTGAAGGGATTTTTGAGAGCTTGAAAAAAGGTTCTGGTGAAAATTTTCGTAGGCTGAGGACATTCGCTGATATTCGGGGAGAAACGTTTGAATAATTTCTACTTGAGGTTCCGTACTAATTTAGTCATAATCATTGATTAATTATTAGGAATATCTTGTCAACTGTTGGAGATAGCGCTATTTTTCAAAGGGACTTTTTTGAAGGGATTTTTGAAAGCTTGAAAAAAGGTTCTGGTGAAAATTTTCGTAGGTTGAGGGCATTCGCGGATATTCGGGGAGAAACGTTTGAATAATCTCTACTTGAGGTTCCGTACTGATTTAGTCATAATCATTGATTAATTATTGGGAATATCTTGTCAACTGTTGGAGATAGCGCTATTTGTCAAAAGGACTTTTTTGGAGGGATTTTTAATAGCTTGAAAAAAGGTTCTGGTGAATATTTTTGGAGGATGAGCAGATTCGCTGATATTCGAGAAGACGTTTGAAGGATTTTTTTTATCTTTCGTATTGATTTACTGACTTAGCCATCACCATTAATTAATTACTGAAATTTTTTTTAGAAAGAAGTCAATCAATGTGAAAAATCATTTCTAATAAACTAATTTTTTACTAATAAACAGCAATTGTATGACTTTAAAATGAATACTTCCACTTTATCTCTAGAAACTCCCCTAATAAAAACAGTCTCAAATATTTTTATCAAAGAATTTTCGCTACTTCATCTCCAGGAATATCTGCGAAACCCAAATATATCCAAAAATTTCTCTCAGACCCATTTCCAGAACTCAAGCCGCTGCCCAAAAATCCGCACCTTTAAAATTTCAAGATTTTCATAAAAAAATGGTCAACAATAAAAATCGATTAGAATTAATCCCTCCAAACAAACTACTTCATTTTATCGCAGCTAAAATGATTCAAATAAATAAATAGCCTCTTTCCTGTAGGCTCCTAGGGTTTTTTTTTTAAAAAAACAATTCTTCTGGAGATCTAGATGAAAAAATTACTGGAGCACAAAGATGAAGGGCTCATCCTGATCTTGTGGAAAATGCTGGGATGTCCTCTTTTGACTCGTGGCGCCATCATCCCAGCATCTCCAATAAAACATCTTCCGCTTTATGATCAGGCGAGTTGTCTCGGATTTTTCTCGTAAACGGAAATGAGGAGAATGGGGTGGAGGAGGGGGAGGAGGGGGAGGAAGGGGTGGAAGGGAATGAGGGGAATGAGGGGAGTGAGGGAGTGAGGGAGTGAGGAGAACGATAATCACTCGGTGATTGAATAAATTTTTGATGAATGAGAAATTTATTGGTTGTATGTTATATTTTCTTGAGGACATCACGAGTGGTTTAACACATGTAATCGGAAATATAGCCTGCGGTTGCTATAAAATGTGATCGGTGCTTGGCTCAGCGAAAGTTACCGAGAAGGTTTGAGAATGAGGTAGGGGTTCTCGATACTAACGCAGAGTGTGCAAACCCAAGCACTTTGACTCCCGGGCACATGTTGTGCCAACTCAGGCAAAATTCAGGGCTCAGGGATTATATTATCAGGGCAAATATATGATGTGCCCTTCAGAATCCCTGACACTCTGTGTGATTGAGTTTGCGGGACTGACTAGTGTGTCAATACCATGAATATCAATATTTGTGGGGCCCATTTTTCGGTGATTGTTTTTTTCATACAAATTTAGGATTTTGGGTACTGTTTTTTTAAAAAGGAAAGTCAACAAAAAATTCAAGTGGTCATTTTTTGGGAATTTTACTGGTCATTTTTTCCAATTTGACAGATCATCCAATTTGACAGATAGAATATTATTTTGTTGATTGAAAAGTTTTGATTTTTAATTTTGTCTCATGGTGCAATTCTATTGGCCGAAATTTGGATGGGAAAATAATCCCCCGAATAGCGGGAGTTTCAAAATTAATTGGGTATTTCTTTCAAGGTTCCCAAACAAATGCAATTGTTAAATTTTTCAGAAAAATGTCTCCACCAAAAAAAAGTCGAGTCCTTCATTTGTCTAGATAGAACCTATCGGGAAACAACCGATAATTTCGGATTTATTTCGATTAATTTTTCAACATTCCAAACAGAAAATAGAAAATATTTCAAAAGCTTAAAATTTTCAAAATTTAGAAATCAAAATAAAAACTTAAAAATTATAAATGTAAAAATATTCAGAGTCAGAGAAGTTTTTTTTTCCGTCTCACATAATAAAAATACCAATCTCTTTGGGCACAGGCATTAGCCAATCAAACCAAAAACAAAATATTATTACCAAAAAAATTATTATCATGAAAAAATTTCCTGAACTAGAGAATCACAAAAGTGACCATTTCTTTATAATAAATCAATTTCTTATTATTAATCTTTTTCATGTACCTGTTTGTTAATGTAAATATTTAATATAAATCTAAATACCACCTGTAAAAATTAAACAAAAACACAGTTAAAAAAAAAAGAATTGAAAAATGTGGAATATTTTACAAATTTAGTACAAATTTTCGTCTTTAAATTAGAATTAGTTTTGAAAATATTTTTCCAATGTTCCTATTGTTTTTTTTTTTTTATAAGGAACTGAGTTTTGGGTGGATCGGGAGTTTGGAGTTTCGTCGGTGTGAAATAATTATTGAGAGTCTCGATCAAATGTGAATGGTAATTTATTCGCGGGATCGAGTCACGTGTTGTCAATTCTACAAACACTTTATCTCTTGTTAATTGTACTGACTTTAATTAATTACTATTATTTATTATTAATTAGCTGATTGAATTATGAAACAATGAAGGGATTTTCTTTTTCTGAAATTTCTGTCGCAGAACTATTACACGTTGATGTACACGGAGAGAAAAATACCGGAAAAATTACGGAACTTTCACTTATTCGTGGGGTGACCTTGCTTTTTTGGGAAAAAGTACTGGAGGTACAGTAAAATTGTCCTGAAAAATTTCTTCGTAAAAATTCCTGCTCGCTACGGAAATTTTTACGGAACGTACAGTATTTTTCCCCGAAAACCAAGGTCACCCCACGAATACCTGAAGGTCCGTAATTTTTCCGGTATTTTTCTTTCTGTGTACTGAGTGCGTCTAATCGATTGTTCTATATCGAATAATCAAATAAATTTTGTACTGAACGTACTGTACGATTTAGTTTGATACTTCACATTGATTTTCAGTGATTTTACTAGAGCTGACCGTTAACCCGGAAAATACCGATGATTTCCGAAATTGGCAGAGCAGATCGACCTTGAAAAATTGGGTTACGTTTCAAACGAATATTTTTTGTAGGAAAGATGAATTATTCAATTCAGGATGTCAATACCGCGGAATCTAGAGGAGATACATAAATTTTGTATAGAACCTT